TCATCCTCGTCGCCCTCGGCACCAGCAATGAAAGGATCTGTGCATATACAAGTCAGCTTTCGTCTTGCGCGCCTTCAATTCTACGCACCCAGACCGTACTCCTCGTCCCCTTCCTCCTCATCTTCGTCCTCATCTACCTCGGCTTCGACATCGAGGAAACGGTTAACAGCCGGACGCTTATGACGGGTCTACAAATATGGTGTCAGGAGGACGTTGAAATAAGCGGAGTGTATGGTTTCACCTTCTGTCGCTTCTTTCCACGGTCTGCGCCAGGGTCGTCTTCGTCCTCCTCTTCGTCTTCTTCTTCGTCCTCCTCCTCGTCCTCTTCCTCATCATCGTACTCTCTGTGTTTGCTCCTCTTGGGTTGTGTATCGTAATTCTCTTCTTCCTCCTCCTCTTCCTCCTCCAAAGCATTCGATCCGTTCATCACATTATCTTCTTCCGCGTCGGACATGATCAGTGAGGGTTACAAGGATATTAGTGGTTGAGAAGAGAGCGTAAGCAATAACTGTGTGGCTGAACTGGCGCGAAGGGACACGATGGGCGTCTACAATAAAGATCGTTTCACGTCCAGCCGAACCAGTTTACCAAAGCCACGTGGCCGGTCCATAGCTTCACCACCAGCTCGCGCTTGCGCGGACTTCAATACAGCCCCCCTTGCGAGTATGATTCGAATATACTTCAAGACTACTTGCACTTTAATCATCCCTCATGAAGCGTCGGCATCATCGGAATAGCTAGCAGCTCAATTCAACTTTAGATTGACTGGATTACGATGGCGCAGTTTTCAGATCTACCTATCGAGCTGCTCGTCTTGATACTCCAGCATATCCCCAAACCAGCCCATCTCGCCAAGATTTGCCTGGTTGACAAGGCTTTTGACAAGTTTGGGCGAGAACAGTTGTACAGACAGATTTACATCTATGCATGGCACAAAGATGCTAAGCTCAAGGTGAGCATACGATGGTAGCAGCGTCTTTGTCTCGCCAGTTATTGAAGTGTATACGAGCGTAGGTTATCAAATTATTTCAGACACTTGCAACTTCACCATCTCTTGCTCGATATGTTGAGAAATTGAGTAAGTCCGGTCCACGGACCAGATGTGGTCTAAGTAATCATATTCGAATCATTTACAGCTATTCGAGACTTTCCCCGAGCGGTCCTACTTGGAAAGCGAGAAGAAATCATCTCCTTGTGTCTCCTAGGAATTCGAAATTGTGTCAACCTTCGAGCCTGCACCTGGACTAGACATGGGTCAATATCCACTGCTCTGCTTGAAGCATTTCAGCAATTACCGCACCTAACCGATCTCGAGATCAACGGAGAGAACCACTGGCAGTATAAGGCCGATACATTGCGGCATTTCAACCACCTAAGGAAGCTATCCTTGATAATGCCTAGTTCTTCCGTGGTCGGTATTCTACACGAGTGGATCCCCGTTACTGCTCATACTTTGAGACATCTCTCGCTCATTTGCAAGGTACGATTATCGGGTTCTCTAGTTTTCTCGTGTTGATACATAATTTCATCATAGTCAACGGCGGTGATCACGGATCAGCTATTAGAAGATATTGGCCCATCCCTTGTCAACTTGGAGCATCTATACTTAGTCGGATGTCCCAAAGTTACACACCGCGGACTCCTCGCGGCCATATCGTCGAGCCAGCATGGTCTTCTCTCACTAGGAATAGAGGGTGTCTCGCCCACTTTCGTAGGTTCCTCCTGTTCATATTACCGATGAATCAATACCGACCTTCATGAAGGATATGGGCCAGTTTGCAGATCACTGTTTGTCCTCAGGCGTCCTCCGTCGTCTGCGATCCATCACGCTCGCCGTCCACGTCGTTAGCACACAGCCGACTAAAACACTCACGGATGGTACTAATGTATCCCGATGGAGCGCTCAAGTTGTCGAGATGCTATCTCAGTCCCCTCTGGAACTTCTACATATATCGACGTTGGGTGGAGACGTAGGGGGAGAACTTAGCAACGACTTCTGCTCGATGCTGCTATCTACTCATGCATCCAGATTGCGAAGATTTTCTGTGCATCGCATGCGAATTAGTACGGATGCCATTAAGCAAATTTGTTCGAGATGTGACCATCTCGAGCAATTGTTCGTCGTTACGGAGCAAGACGATCTGGTTTGTGTCTTTTAACTATACACTACAATCGTCGCCGTACTCTATATCTAACATCTGACGTGTAGGATTCCCTGTGTGATGCGCTCTCGCTCACTCGTTCTCTGCACACGCTGCACGTCAACAGACCCCTCGAAGAACACTCGGAGACGTTACCTGTGGTGCCAAAGGACAGGATCCTGAAAGTCGTCAGGAGATGTGGGTCGGAACTCCAGCAGGTAGGCTTCAACACCCGAGTCTGGCAGGTAAGATCTCTCGAACTTGTTCATTTTCAATATATCTGAACTCGAATACTACCGACCAGGTGCAACGGAACGTCATCAGAAAAGAAGATGCCTCACTCGATATAGAACTAGACCTCGCGCCGTATGAGCATCCAGAAATACCCGAGCAATTCCTGGTCGTACGAACATAGAATAACCCATACAAACCGAACGTGTCACAAGTAAGACATTTGACAAAGAACCAAGAACGATGATGAGTGCATCCACGCCTCGCGACGCTGTAACCCTGGATAGAACTCTGCTGACAGTTACGTGAAGCCTACGATTCAGAAAACTGTCCGATAACGGTTGTTCCGTCAAGAAATCCGAAGAACGCGTTCTGCGAGACAGTATCCCCAGTTGCGCCCCTCTGGATCAGATACACGGGGCCATATCTTGAGAACGCTGATGAATCGATCTGCATGTGATCCTCCGAAGGTTCAGTAATTCCATGTCTGGTGAATATTGCTCAATTGTATATCCAATATCGCGACGTTTGATATGCCAACTTCTTGAACATGTTTGTCTACACATTCCTTGGTAGAGCACCAGACAGTGGCTGGGCAGAGAACACAGTACCAGAGTCTCGTCGACTAATGGTCTTTACCAACAATGTCCTGTCAATTAATTTGCTCCCACTCTTGTTGGTTCACTAGGGTGAAAGAATCGATGTGCAGAAGATTGTTCCTATCCTCGTGGTGCTGAACCAGGATAAGTACGAGTCGCCGAGTAGAATGCAATCTTACCAAGTCCCATAGAGCTGAACTGCTGGAGAGGTTGGATGGTTGATTGTGGTAGGAGGAGAAACACGAAAAGCGAAACACGTCGTCGTCACTGCGGGAACGCGATCATTGCCCGGAGATCACGTGTTCGCAGAACGAACTAGTTAGTATTCTGAAAGTTCAAACGTACCCTGGGGGACAAGTATCAAAACGGTGTCTTCGTGACCAAGAAAATCCAAATCATGTCTATACCATTGCAGGATAGTAACGCACCGACAGCCATGAATGAGCCCGATTAGTAAAAGGTGTCAACTTGCACCTATGTGAATTATGCTGTAACAAAAGTCCGTGATATTCATAAAAAGTCCTTCGGTCCGTTAGTACTGTATCGTATCGTCACCATCATGTCCATGTCATGTCCACCTTCAGCTTCAACCCCCATGTACTCCAACCGCCGTCGTACCCGCCATCCGAATAATTAATCCCACCCACACCCAATCTGCGAATACTGCGCTTAAGGGTGTCGTCTCATTCTACGAGGGCGCGTACTGCGGGGATGTACGGGCTTCTCTTCATCGGAATGGGCTCTCGTGTCCGCGGGACCTTGTAATAATGGTGCTGATTCTGGGACGGTGGGAGGGATAGCCATGGACAAATCTGCGGGGGATGGCATTGGTGCACCCGAAGTGCATGCGATGAAAGCGAGCACGGACAACGCAAGAGCGATCGAGGGCTGCATTGCTCAGTCTGGGTTAGCTGAAGATGAGATGTTGAATGTCATGGGCTACGCCGCAGGAAGTGTGGGTATAGGCTTACAGTTATCCTGATGGTTTTCAGGGCAAACAAGAGGGCTGGATGTACTGTGCACGTTCCAACTCGACCACACGGGAGCTGAGCAAATGGGCGAATCTCAAGAGCCGCTACCAGAGCAAAGGCGTATACTAATATATATCACTCCGGACGTCGACGCCCAGATGCGTCTGGCAGGTGGCTCTCGGAGCAGATGACAGTCAAGCCCGGGGAAACTGGAAGGGACGTGACTAAATGGGAAGAAGAGGGAAGTGAAGCGGCGAAATGTAAGCAGAATAAGAACCCTCAGCTGGCGCACCGGCGTGTCCTTTATATAACTGATAGCAACCGAGGTCCGTCATAGTACCACATAGCCTATTGCATACATCGTACGGGAGGCACTGTTTCGGCGTGGCGCAGAAACGTGAGCATCCCAGGCGTTCCGGGCCCGACAGACCCGTCCACGGTCCAGAGGCTGTGCGGAAACTCGTTGAGTGTGCGCTCGTTCATCATTGCCTCAGCAATGGGTTTTAGAGCAACTTGAGAATATCTTGCACGTTTACATAGCGTGGCCAAGGCGAGGCATTTGCAGGAATCGCGAAGAGACTGAAATAAGGGGGAACGTACTGGCTGAAGGAGGAAAACAGGTAGCAAACAAAGTCAAGCAGGTATCCTCATACGCACGCATACAACAAACACCCTTTGCTCCTCGTCGACAATCCAAAAGCTATTCCTGGTGGACTTACATCTGATGACAAATACTTATTGCATGCAAAGAGTCACTATCAAACTCTTTGCTGCAGCTGATGCGTGGCCAAGCGTTATGCGATACGCCGAAGAGGATGCACATGCATCGCGATACGACTATACCAGTTGTCTACCAATTCCAATTCTGTGAGAGTGTTTGGTCATGCAAGAAGATGCCGTCCTTCGTTATCCTTAGATGACGGTGTTTAGTAGGAGACGTCGTCAGGACTCAGGACTCGGGATATGAGTTCATCGACTCGGAGAGACAAGCTTAAGATGACAAGAATCGGTTACATGTTCCGACAAGATAACAAAACACTTTTATGCCATTTCTCCAAGGCACTATGGCCGAGTGGTTAAGGCGATAGATTCGAATATCTTCGAATTCTATCTATTCCCCTTGCGGGTCGCAGGTTCGAATCCTGCTGGTGTCGTTCGAAGCTTGTCTTTTTATCATGTTCTCTTGTCCCCAAAAGCCACACATCCGCGGGTCGTTCGAAATAAGAATACTCCTCACGCTCTTCGGAGAAAGCATGTGTAATCAACGTGTTCAAACTTCCGGAGAACAAAACACAAACAGAACTTGAAGCCCAAGGCACTCTCATTTGCCTACCACGTCTACCAACTGCGTCTTGGGAATAGCGTCGGGGAAAGCTAGTTGTTTCAAACGAGTATCCGTTGCCTGCTCATAGGCAAACGCGTAGCTGATCAACTCGAACTCGCTGAACGCGGTGCCCATGAACGAGATGCCGAATGGTTGGTTAGGCCCGGATGGCCTCGTGGGTTGAGCGGGAGGCAACGTAGTGTTTGGAGGCATGAATCCGAGAGGTACTATGGCACCCAAGAAATCGTCGACATCAACTGGCCACGACGAGAACAGTCCTGGAATACGCACCGGTCACAAGTGGGTATCCGGCGATCGCAGCAGGGCCTGATGCCCCGCTCGTAGGTAAGAGAAGGGCATCGAGGTTAAATAGTTTGAGTGTTGCGTCTATCCCGCGTGTCTGTCCGAGATCTTTGTCTGCTGCGAGGGCATCAAAGAACGTTTGGTTGACCGTCGTGTTTTCAGATGCAATGAATCTGTGATACGCAGTTGTTCAGGGTACAAGAGGCGATGCGATCGTAACGTACGTTGACTGATCCGTCCAGAACGGCGCGACGAGCTCCTCATCTGCATGCGCAGTATTGAACGCGATGAGGTCTGCGAGTGTCTTTACGCCTGTTGGTACTTCCACCAGGCCAGCTATGTACCGTTCCACATCGACCTGCACGGAGTCGTTTCAGCTTTGGCGAATATCCTGAAGATGTATGAACTACCTTGAAATCGGTGCGAGTCACGATGGTTTCATTGCCACTCCTCCTCAACTCTGCAAGGTCGGGAAAGTCGGTAGGATCCACCACAGTTGCACCAAGACTTCTGATTATCTCCAGCGAAGCGTTGAATGCGGCAACTATGTTTTGATTTCCCGGAGAGAAACCTCGGGGAACGCCTAGTCTGACCCCCGGAGAGCGGTCTTCTTTAGAGCTCTAGTGTAGTCGGGAACGATGGGCGGCTGTGCGAGCGTAAAGTTATCTAGAGGGTCTCTTCCTGCGATCACACTGAGAATCATGGCTGCGTCCGCGACGGACCGTGCCATGGGCCCGACAGTATCTTGGCTGTAGAAATGTCAGGGAATGGGTCAAGCAACTGAAGTTGTGACGCACTGTTCAGATATCGGAATGACTACCCAAGATGTGAATAAACATTGCACAGTTGGGTCTAAAGGACTAAAGACGTACCTCCAGCTCGACTGGTTAAACCTACAGTTGGCTTGATGCCGACCAAGTTATTATTTTGACTAGGCGAGACAATACTTCCATCCGTCTCGCTACCTAGTGCCGCAGCAGCGAGACCGATAGCACTTGAGATACCGCTTCCCGAACTTGAACCTGAAGGGTCTCCGAGTGGAACATATGGGCTTGAAGCTTGTCCACCACGTCCGGAAAAACCAGAAGGAACTCGCCCTCGGAAGTTAGCCCATTCACTGAGGTTGGCCTTACCCAGGATGATCGCACCAGCCTTTCGAAGCTTCGCTGCAACGGTAGCATCGCGTGGGACGATGGACCCCAGTAAAGCGAACGAGCCTGAGGAACCCGACATTGACTCCAAAGTACGCACCCTCTTTACATAGTGTTACTCACCAGCGGTAGTGTTCATGCCTGATATTATACGTAGTTTAGCTCACGAATCTCGTGCTAGCACTGTCTACGTTACCGTCTGATGCCAAAGTTGCAATGTTATCTTTTAGAATTATCGGGATACCGTGCAATGGACCACGAGGCCCTGTCAAGCGTCTTTCACGATCCAAAGCAGCAGCTTGAGCGAGTGCACTCGGATTTGTCTCGATTACTGCACGGAGCGTTGGCCCTTTCAAGTTCACTTCATCGATACGCGCGAAATATGCCTGAAATATGCGTCAGTATGATAGAGCATGTGTCCTTGAATGGTCGAACTAGCCTTCACGAGGTCAACACTGGTGAATTGATTTTTTGACAGACCTTCCTGTAGCTCCGCGATAGAGGCCTCGTACAAGTCAGGGAAACCGGCCACTGTGGGTCTCACGACAGCATCAGTATTGAGCTGCATACTGCTCGAGTTGCATATATGAAACAGTATGGCAACTATAGTGAGTAAGGCTAGTCTTGAGGTGAGCTTTCTCATCCTGGACTGTGATGTTGGGGCATCCAGCACGCCAGTTGCACTTGGGAACCGAGCGGCCTTTGCTCTTATCACTTTTGGCAGTGAATCCGACTGCATGGAGAGCCTGGGAGAGGAGCTATAGCCCAAATACATCCGTGCAGCAGAGACGACGCACTAGGAGAATCCGAACCAACAAATGCGAACCTACGTAGGAATAAAAGTCTGAAGGCGAAGATGGCCGTTTTCTATGAAGCTGGGAAGTCACCAATGAACTATCAAGCTTCCCACACCAGGCCTAGGTCCATATGGTCGTCTATTTTTGCAATCAAAGACGTTGATAGCGCAATGCGATACATGTCCTGCATCGTCAAGAGATGTAACAGCATGGCCTCAGCATGGAGAGGAAGTCGGAGGAGGTTGGACAATTCCTCGGCTCTGAGATACGTGTGCCGACAGCTGCTTTCCTTTTCGGGACTATTCTTTCCGTAAATGGTATGCTGCTAACCAAATCTGGACGAATGCAAAGCGCCACAAACAAAAAGCGACGCAACACAAGCCACGACCATGCTTCGGCCGTGACACTCTTGTCCGAAGAGTCGTCATGTTTTCTTCGCTACCCCTCCTCAACATCATCTCCTCGCCGTTCAAACGTGCACAACTCGGACTGTTTCACGGAAAGACAAAGCAATACGGAAATAGCGTTCCTTTCTCCAAACATAAATCAAGGAGATCATGGCTTCCTAATGTCCACAACAAACGGTTCTTCTCGGAAGCTCTGCAGGACTTCGTCCGAGTCAAAGTGTCCACGAAGGCGTTGAAGACGATAAAGAAGGTACGACATACCGCACTTCCATCGTTAAACTGAACTAGAGCACCCGCCATATCTTGTAGCATGGCGGCATTGACCAATATGTTCTCAAAACGAAGCCGGAGCTGCTGGGTTGGGAGGGAATGCGCATCCGTGTCATGGTGAGGGAGAAACTGGTAGAGAGTGGTCGGGATATTGCGTCAATACTGGCAAAGCCCACGCCTCCCGCAGCGGCAACCACTAGCTCGAGTTCGTCTCCACCATAGTCTTCACATTGTACGTTGCCAGAATCACTCTACGGAACAGGGTTACTAATAAGAAAGAGTAGAATTATTCTGTTCTACACTAGCTTTCAGCCATATATCTATTCGAATCATGCGGCAAGCAGGTGCTACGACAATCGTCCTGCTGCAAACCAGAGTTCCCTTGGGCGAATTACCCTCGTGTCTCTCTCCGGCTCTCATCGTGTGATATTTACCCAGCAAACCCACCATGCCCGAGAGTCCTGTTGTGCCTGCCCGTACTAAACCGATCAATGCTGCTGGTTCCCAGAATGCTTTTCCTGTTATCGAGTAATTAAAGTGCGTCTCTATGTCACTTCGTTTTTTCGGAGCCTGCGGGCCAATTCAGTTTGTGCTCAATATGGTAATGAAGACGGCGCGCTCACCATGGGTTTTGCTGCTTGCGCTATATTCACTTGCCCGTGAATTACACTTTGGCGATCATCGCGTCTGACTTGCCATTTCAAATATGGGTGTAATACGAGGTTCTTCAATGACAGTCGTCCAGGGCTATCAGGGCCATCCCTCGTACTGAACCAGAACCGATATTGTGCCATTATACCCCCCACTCTGACGAGCCATTCATGAAGGCGGTGTGAAGCAGGATCACGACCAGGAGCGTCCTGATTTTGCTCCCATTCCGTCTCGCCCCAGCTCATGGTGTATGTTTTCGGCACACGAGAGGTATGAGACCAGTATGCCGTGTGAGCCCTAAGGCGATTCTGCTCTCTAGGGAACCGTACTGATGCCGTTCTCCGCTGTATTGCCAACTCGGACGAGTAATACTGGGGACCAGATCTGGCAAAGCAGTGAGTATTGCAGGGTCGGGTTGGTGATTGCATGGAAACGTACCTTCCGGCTCCTAACCTCAGGTTGCGCCAACGACGTTCGTTCCGGACGCACTGTCGAAGCGCAAGGTGAGGTCCAATGTTCGGCGGTTCTAGGATTGCGAGGAACAGGCGACGATACTTCCGTCGAATGGAGAATCTCGTGTGCAGAATCTGGATCTGGGCCAAGGATACTAGTAGTTCCAAAGCACAATGCGAACGTGACCACCGAATCCTCATACGAATGTCTTTTGCGGGAGGAAGAGGCAGATGGCTCATGATGTGTAACATCTCGATCGATGTGTCGACGTCGGTATCGCAGCGTAAAGTCACTGCGGTGGAAGGTGGGTATAGGGAGAGTGCTGCGAAGAAATCTGAATGCATGGGCTGTGAGTCAGAGCTTCGCAGGATGTGGAGATTCCGCAATTGAGGTACATATGGAGCAAGTAGGTACAGGATACCCGTAGGATCAGCATCCAGCACCAAGGTCAATGTGCGTACGAAAGTGCGCAATTGAGGGAGGTCATGCAGTGTCGTCGTAAGCTGCCGCACCTTAGTATGCGCAACCTGGTGTTTGCCAATACAGATGTAGTTGTATAGATATCGTTGGCTTCGTGGATACCATGAGCGACAAGTCAATGCGCAAGCCATTAAGGTTCTCATCCGTGACTGATAGGTCGTGCGGTTCGAGACAGGAAGGCCGGCATGAAGGTTATCAATGATTTCGTCGTGGATCTCGGGTGGTAGGTCGTACTGGGAAGGGGATGTTTCATGGAATCCCTTCAGGTATGTGTCAACACATAGTAGAGTCGTTGAATACTGGGAATAACAAGCACCT